AATTTTATTTTTTATTATATTTAAAATAATTTTTTAAAAAATTAATTAAATATAATTTTAAAATCAATTTCAAAATAATTTTAAAATAATTTTATTTTTACATTCTATTAAAAATAAAATTATTTTAAAATTAATTCTAAACGTACTCAATAATTGTCTCGCGCCCACAAGCCCGCCAAATCCAATCACTGAAATTCAGCGGCCCAGAGAGAGTAACGTTGCTCTTCAGGTCATTTTCGTCGTCATCATCGTCAGAATCATCATTGATCTTTTTTCGCTTTCGGCGCCTTTTTTCTTTTACCAGTAAAAGATCACGAGAGTAATCAATGTCCTCAATCACAATGATGGACTTATTTGAAGCGTCGATCAACATCTTCCTCAGCTTGGTGTTATCCTTAACTGCCGTGAGTTCCAAATCGTAGACATCATAATCCAGGAAGTTAGCCATGGCACAGATCATGGTTGACTTACCTGTTCCTGGAGAACCATAAAAGAGAGAACCGCGTTTCCAAGGCTTCCCAACTCTGGCGTAGTAGTCTTTTCCTGTGCTTCTTTTTGGGGTCCATAGCCAAAATGTTGAAACTCGCAGGGTGCTCAAAAAGAACATGGCTCCACTTAGTACCACACCAGCTCTCGTATTTGCCATTGGTGTAAAGCTTTCGTTGCCCATTCTTCACGGCCATTCCTTTCCCTTGTGTCACCACATGATTGATGTAAAGGTAGTGATGAGGTCTTTGTTGTTTCTGTGGAAGGTGAGATTGTAGAACGGCTTTTGGGATGGTAAGAAACGCTTGTTTTGTTGGGCATTGTGTAGTAAAAAGTCCACCATAGCTTGACACCTTCGAATTCGTCGATGACTTTCTCGTTGTAGTCCATGCTAAGGACAAGAGATTTGCTGTCTTTAAAGTCATGAGCTTTGAGTCCTTTTGCTCGAGTGGACGACATGGCGCCGACTCCGAGGTAGTTTTGGATGGCGCCGTAGACTTCGCTGCGCTTGAAACCGTCGCCATTTTACTCAGGGAAGGTGATTTGAACATAAGGGTAAAAGAAGCATAGCGCTCTGTTGAAATATCTCTTTCAGAAACGCCACGCATCATCAGGAAAATATTGTTGAAACATAGCGTACACAAGCATCACGCTTGCCATCACTTGAGACCACATCTCCCCTGTGGTCGCCATGATCTTCAAAGGAAAAAAAAAATACAATAAAATTAAAAATATTAAAAATATTATTTATACTATTATACTCAAACAACAGTTTCTCTTTGTTGTTTTTCTGAAGATTACTAATGTGAAATTTACAAGACGTCAAGACCAAAAGCCTTATTTTATAGGGCTGAGTAAACCAGTCAGATTAGGAGTACAATTCTTTTACGAAAGGAAGTAGGAGTGGAATTCTAAGTAAAAACTAAAATAAAATGTACAAGTAGTATCTATCCTAACAAAATGCCAACAACAAAACAAAACGAGAATATAGTTTTATATACTAAGTTAAGTAGCGAAAATATAGAGCTGTACTTTAAACAAAGCTCCAACTAAATAAAAACAGTCCTAAACAAATTATACAAAAGCCATAAAAGAGTCCTAAACAACCAGTCTTTCTAATTAACACATCTCACTTCACTTGTTTTGACTTTTGAGAACTATTTGTGTGTATACATCAGTCCGAGTCATACATGTTTATGCGATTATACTACGGCTATGTGACCATGTGCAAAGATTGTTTTTATTTATGAGCAAAGTATGTGTACTGGCTACAAACAATGATAAAGTAAGAAAAGATGTATAGAATTAAAACATAGGTCTTGTTAGCATATATATATATATATATAACGTAGGTCTGAAATTATTTGTACTACATATTTTATCTTACAAGGTCTGAAATTTATACGACATTTTTATCTTACTTTTTTCTTATCCAAAAAAAGTGATCTGATTTCAAACTTTATGACAAATAAAAACGAAATCAAATTCTATTACAGGTGATCAGGCATCATCTATTTGGAAAGGAAAAAACAAGAAATAAACCAAAAAAAGAAAAGAAAGTGAAAAAAGAATTTTTAAGTAAGCAGGAAAAGATAAAAACAGGGGAGTACAAGATTTGCATAAAAAATATAATCAAAATTTTAATTTTAACCCATGTTCTTAAAAATATATTTCCAACTCCGCCCGGATTAATATTTCGTCCCTTTCAAAGTAAATTACTTTATTAACCAAATCGACTAGCTGGTGACTTGGTAGTGTAGCTTTATATCTGCAAATTGTCTGATTCATTCCAGTATTATATTCACTAATTTATCGTATTCGGAAAGTGTGGTTGTGTATATGAAACAAACACTTCCAATACCAAGTTTTACGTTTTTTTTTTCCAACCAAATTTGACGACTTTTGCACCCTGAGAAGGGTTGTGCTGAAAGTGAACAGCCTTTATCGTTTCAGTCTTCGTCTTCTCCTTTTTCTTATACACGCGCGTGCAAAACACGCGCATACATTTGGTTATCAAATGTTCAGGTGATTCATTCGATTATTTATTTATTTATTTTATATAATGTAGTGCATCTTCCTCTTTTTTTTTTTTCTAGTAAAGAAGGAATCGGGTGTGCACTTCACTTCACGTCTTCTAACTCTTTCGACTATAGCAGCAATCTCGATAACTACTGAGTATGTAGAAATGACTTGAACTGTCTTTCACTGACCATCTAACCAATTTTGACTCTCTTCTATCATGTGAAGCCCACATCTCTCACAATGATAGGGTAGCAACGCATAGATGCATAATATCAAATTCTGAAAAGATAGACAAAAAAGACTTAACAAATGCGTCCTTACCATGACCCTCAATAGTGTAGTGCATCTTCCTCTTAATCGTCGCTTTCCCCATTCTTTTCCTATACTATATAAGACGTCTTGGGTGCGTTTGGAATTGGTTCCAAAACGTTTTTATTTTCTGTACGAAAATGAAAATGAAAACGTTTTTAGTTTCATTTTTGAATTATTTCTAAAAATGCGTTTGGTAGTTTTATTTAGAGATTGATTTCAGTTTTAAAAAAAACTGAAACTGCGTTTGGTGGTTTAATTTTTGAAAACATGTAATAATAT